GAGGGGGAGGGGGAGGGAGAGCGGACGCATCAGAAGCATCAGCAAGCTAAACTGGAGCAGTCCCCGCAGCAGGGAGGGCAGGAGAGTGGCGGTGGTGGTGGAGGAGGAGGAGGAGGAGGAGGGAGTACGAAGAGGCGGCTGTTGGCGGTGCGGTCCGATCACGTGGTGGTGAACAAACCGCCCGGACTGCAGGTACGACATCCCCCCCCTCTACCCCACCTACTTTCTTTGGGAGAAGGAAGAGGTTTGGGACACGTGTGTGTGTGTGTGTATTGGGGGTTCTTGGTTTGGGATAGGGAGAGACGGTCAGGAGCGCAATGGGGAGGCGGGAGGGGGCCCCGAGAGGGGGAAGGTCCCGTCTTGTTGGTTCTTCACTCCGCTCTGTGAATGACGTACAACCTCGTCTGACGTACAGACGAGCCTGTCGTACACGTACATTATACACACACGCTTTCCCTGGGACCTGTCGTACATGTACCACAAGACAATGCTGCCGCCTCCTCTACACCTATCAACCCGAAACTCCCCTCCCAGAACAAAGTTTCATTTAAGATACGCACTTGCCGTATTTAAGCGCACATACATACATACATACATACATACATACATACATACATACATACATACATACATACATACATACATACATACATGTGTCACAGGTGGCCCCCACGGTGGACAACGTCCAGGAGTCCCTTCCGGCGGTTGTGGAGAAGGTAATGTATGTTGTGTGTGCGTGTGGGTTGTGTGTGTGTGGGGGGGGGGAAGAGGGGTGTGAAAAGGGAAAGGCGGGAGGGGCCGTACGCGAGTGAGGGGGTCTTAGGTGACCCGGGGGGGGAGGTCCTAGGGTTTGGCAGGTGGTCTAGTGTTGGGTTGTGGGTGAAAAGAAGGGGGAAAGGGCTCTGAGTCCCCCGGCACCCGGCACCCCGCGAATCAGCCTCCCGCATGAACTCTAGTTCAGTACTGGCGGTGCTCTAGCAGTGTAGCAGTGTAGTGCAGCATAACGTAGTGTAGTGTAGTGTGGTGTAGTGTGGTGTAGTGTGGTGTGGTGTACTGTAGTGTGGTGTAGTGTGTAGCGTTAGAGCACCACAGGGTGGTGTGCCCCACCTGGCCATGAAGCCTATCTTCTTTCATGGCTTGCAGTTGGGGTCTTTTTCAGTTTCACTGTTGTACACTTGGGGGCTTTTCGTGAAAGCGCTTTCCTCACCTGGAGTTGCGTACCTGCTGCTGTACGGCACTGTGACACTGTCCCAGCTTCCGTCGTACACACGCCAAAAATATGGTGATATTTACATAAACTTTAAATCCTTATAAAGCAATTTATATTATGTTTTATGTTTTGTGTTACACTCAGCAAAGCGCCGCGAATCCCCCTCCGGTCCCTCCGGTACTGCTGGGTTGCCATTCACACGGGTATTATATGTGCGAGTGTGTCGGTCATTTTCCAACAGTTGGCCTAGCTGGTTTAAATTTTTATTATTATTTTTATGTATTTGGATTGTTGCCTGATTAGGCTCTCTCCCTGGAACCTGGCTCCCTGCACCCCGCGCACCGCCTGGATGCTGGTACGGAAGGTGTGGTGGTGCTGGCGCGTGGTGCGGCGTTTGCCAGCTACTTCCGGGGCCTTATGGGCGATAAGGCGAAGGTACGAATGCGCGTATGTACGGTGGGTTATATACTCGTGTGTGTAGGGGTGTGTGTGTATGGGATATGTAGACGTGTGCGCATATCCTTGACAGCATGCGAGCAGGCTGGTATGCGATTCCTGGTGAGTGTGTGTCTGTATATATGTGTATTCGCATATATTTTTACTTATGTATGTGTGTACGTATGTATGTACGTGGGTGTTTAGCTGCTGCCTCCGTGCATGTGTACCCCAGCAAGTGATTTTGCCGTACCCGCCGTACATAGCTTGGCACGTGTCAAGTAAGTAGCGGCACGTGTACGTATCGGTGTACGACATGTAGGTGTCAGTCACATGTCGGCCCTCCGAGCGCCACCAAGTCAGTGCCGTTTATAAACTGACATGTGTGCCCCCGGCCTTGGTTTCCTCCCCTCCCTCCTCCCCGCCCTCCTCCCCGCCCTCCCTCCTCCCCTCCCTCCTTCCTCCCCCCCTTCCTTCTCCTCCCCTTCTTGCCGATGCACTTCTCGCCCATCATACACACATACACATATAGGGTTTACATACGCATGTATGCACATGTGCTGTTTTCCTTCCGCCGCGCTCTGCCATATACAGCATGCCGTACGCAAGCAGTACAAGT